CATCTAATACTATATTTCAATAGAATACTTAGACACAATGTTTATATTATAATCTTGTATAGCCTCTTAAAATGAAAAACATGCGAGTTCAACCTACCCAGATAAATGGCCGCTAATCAAATGTACATTCATGTCACTATCAGAAGAATCCTGAAAAAAGGATGAGGATACTGTACAGAAGTTTAAAGCACCTTGCATATGTATTTTACGTTCTATTGTTCCAATATTTCTTTTGTCTTGTTCGAGGACCTCAATGAAAAGTAATGCTTTCACTGATAGGGCTTTCACCCTTGCAAAATATTTTCAATAATTTAAAAAAAAAATCTATTATCATTCCACTGTGCAGCCACTTACTTTACTCAATTCATTAAGAAGCATTTCTTCAACATTAACTTCATAGACTATCTGAAATATAAACAGGAAAAAAGATTCAATTATGGATTAGTAAAACTGTGTAAGATCAGAACATCTATGCAGGTAGCAGACTTTGTTTTATGGCCAAATGTAGATAACTACATTCAGCGGCAGAACCCAAAATTCAAACTACAGCAAGCCAAAGGAACACCAAAAACCTCCTAATCCTCATACAGTGAAATCTATAAATTAAGTAAAAATGAAACAAAAAATACTTACCTTCTCGGTGCCTGGATCTGAAATAAGCCATTTTTGTAGATATTTATTATGAATGACATACAGCGGCAGCATTTCAGATTCTTGTTCTTCTCCAGCCAAGATGCTCCTCACACCCTAATAATAACAGTTCATTAAAATCTATTCATTCAATAATGGGGTGTAGAGAATGATAAATTCTGATTAGGCCAAAAAAAAAAAAATTTTGTGTTGGCCACTTTTTAGGAAAATCCAAAAAATGGATAGGTCGGTAGGAAAACTTTTTTTTTAAACCAAAAATGTGTTTACCCTTAAAAAGTACAAAATACACAAAGTAATACAACAATTTTGGATTTGTATCGCGCACTAAAATAAGCTAGACCTTGGCCTCCTAGCCTAGTACAAGGCTATTTCAGCCTTATCAGCTCATGAAAAAAAAAATATTGTTCCTTGTAGTAAAAAAAAATAACTACATCGCAGACCCTGAATTTCGTAAAATTTGGGTCATTCGGGCGTGGCCAACACAATAATGTTTTTTATTTGGCCTTATGGCAGGAACAAGATGATGATGATATGATGATGATGATGATGATAATAATCAAATGAGGGTTATGATGAGGATGACAATGAACCAATGGTTATGATTATGACAAATATAAAACAATTATGATGATGATTATGATGATACTTATGATGATGATGATAATTATACTGATGATTTCAAATATAGTAAATAATATATAATATCCTTTTTGATTTAGATGATGATGATGACAGATATCTTGGATAGATATAAAGAACTTACAGGAGCTGTTGATTTTTGATGACCAAATAAAAAGGATGAGAACTTAGCAAGCATTCCAGAGTTTTCACTTAAGCTGTAACATGTAACTGTGTTCTGCAAGAATAAACAACCACTTAAGTTGACTTTGTAACATCAACAATACTTCAGTATAAACAAAACAGCATAAGCATGAGACAAAATTCAGAAAGAGATATTTTAATATTAAAAGAAAACATAAGTTAATGCAATTGTCTGACATCAACAATACTTAAATAAAAGAAACATTCATTAGTGCCAAATTAATTAACCGTAAAAAATTGAATTGAAGCCCAATGGGCTTAATCTTGAGAAGCCCATCTCAAATTGAAGCCTCCCTCTTTATTTGCAAAAGCAGCCTCGAAAAGAAGCCCATGGGCTTCTAACCATCGTAAGGTAGGATGGGCTTCTTTTCGAGATAGTACAGTATATCCACTGTACATGAATTTCAAAGAACATAATAAATTGAAAACACACTTGGTTTATACAGGATTTTAGGTGATTTAATGCTGGTTAATACAATCAATGATACAGATTGATGTTACAGTGGCCGTATTTATTGTTTTTAGTAGTAATTTCCTAAATGTACAGCATTTATTTTGAAAAGAAGCACCCCTCTTTACTTTGCAAAAGTAGCCTCAAAAAGAAAAAAAAAGGACCGGCTTCAATTCAAGGTTTTACGGTACTAGTGTAGTTCCTCGGGTATAAGTCACCTCGGGCATAAGCCCACCCCATACTTTACACCCAATTTTTCATACCAGCCTTTTTCGGGCAAAAGCCCAGGGTTCAATTTGAATGATTAGCTTAGCTGGCTTTTACAAAATACTCAAAAAAATCAAATATTGGCTTAATTAGGCATGCTGTGGTGAAAAATTGCCTTTTGATTGAAAAGGGGATTCCTCAGGTGTAAGCCCACCTCTCAACATCGGCCCAATTTTGTGTTCAGCTTATACCGCTGGAACTACGGTATTGACTTTGATCAAATTTTTATACAGGATTTTCTACAGTATTATCAGAAGATAAAATAAAAGCAAATTCAAAATATAAAAACAAAATAAAAATCTGATAAAGATATTTTTCAATCAGAAGGAAAACATCCCACAAGTTATTTAAAGTAAGTAAATGCAATTGACATCCTCATCTTAAGCACAATCCTAATTTAGTAATGATGTAATAAACATAATTTTATAATACTTTTCAACAAATAAACACGCTCTTCATGGTAAAAATACATTTAAAAGGATATTTTAAATTGTTATATTATTTTTAAATTATCACACAATATAGATATAAATTACCTGAATGCCTGATGTTGATGGGGAGAAGAGGTACAGTTGGTTGGTAGTCGTTGCTAAAATAAAACCAAATGGCTTCAGAAAAAAGGAAACAATAAATGAGATGAGTATCAGAAATTCCATTCATCAACACAAGGGTCTTAAGTTGGAAGTTCCAAGCCATTTTTAAGAGATCTGGTTATTTGCGGTTTACACAGCTACCTTTAGTTTGCTACACACGGTGATACGCATCACCAGCAGCTGACTTCCAGGAGATAATTGATAATAAAGTACTAAAAACATGTAAATATAATGAATTTCCAGGAGATGGGTTGATTTCGACAAAAGTGCGGGAGGCTGTCTTGAATTTCTCCTAAAACTTGCTGGACACTTTAAAATGTTGAAAACAGTTTAGAAAACATTGTGTGGGATTGTAACTATTTATGTTTAATAATAATCTTACGTAATTGTAGGCATATGGAGGAGAACACTGTATTCTAATAACAAAAATTGTACTGGTTTGCACTGTTACAACTGCACGTGTAAAAACCAAACACATCAACTAAATTAAATCAACCATCAATGGACAATTAAATACCTGGACGGTAGTGAGGGAGAAGGCCTCTTGACCATCCAAGTCAGCACTGATCTCAATGAAGGCTTCACCATTAGCGATGTTAGGCCAGTAGCGAACAATACCTTCTGGAGAAACCAGGATGACTGCCATCTCAACACCATCTTCTCCTACCACGATACCAGCTAACTTGGCTTGGTGGCTTAGTTCACTCGGTGGCAGGGCTAATTCTTTAAAAACTGTTGCCTTTACAATATAAAACAGATGCATAATGGTGAAAATCTGTTAAGGCACTGTACACTTAGTACAATCCTGTTTTTAAGATCCTAAATTTTAACAAGTAAGCCAATATATGTTGTTTCAATTAACGTAATTAGACTGAGGTTTACAAATAAGAACATAATTTAAACTTTAAACTTAGACTGGGTGGGGTTATAATCTCCAAAATTACAACCTGTACGTTCTTAATTTGCCAGGTTCTTATTATTGATGTTAAAACGACTGGCGGAATAAAGACAGTGTGAGTGAGTGGCAATGAAAAATGTGTTGCATTGTTTTTGGACATATGTTCACCGCATAGATAGCAAAAAGGCTTTTGCATGAAGACTACAGTTCGATTGATTGATTGTTCATTGATCGATTGATTGGTCAATGTCTTCCACTCCCTGAGTCCAGGGTGCAAGTCCTACTAACATCATGAGGTCTCACAAAAATAAATTCCACTCCCTAAGTTACGATGGAATCGTACGAAACTCATTCCGTATTGGCAGAGACTGCGAGTCTTATTGAGACTTTGTTTTTTTTTTAAACATCACTGTGTTTATTCCATTATGTTACAAGTCAATTGTTATAGTGAGAGAACGTCAGGTATATTACCTTGGCAAAACTTCTTTGCTCGAAGCACCAGATGAACATTTTTCGACCACACACCAGCCATGCCCATCCTGAAGCATCAACCTTAACTGTAATCTGGGTAGTACCTAATAAGGAAATTTAAAATAAAAAATAAACACCGAGTTGAAAATTCTGTCCTTTTAATAAATTAATGAAATATATTATTGTTTAAAATAATTAATTTGTATATATAAAATCTGTACAAAGATGTTTAGAAGATAAAAATTTAGAGAAAATACAATTAAAAAGCATGCTGGGAACAATTTAATAATATTCCAGGTCTGTAAACTGGATTCCTTAAAGGGGAGGGTGGAGGGGGCAGAAAGGGGGTCCATTAGTAATCAAAAAAAGGTTCAGGAGGAGAGCTCTTGTGGTGCAGGGATGAATCTTCTTGGAATGATGCAGGAGGCAATTTGCAGGCTGCAACAAAATCACAGATGGGTCGCATTTGGCCTGTGGGTCACACTTTGCTAACATGTGGAGTAAAGCATGTAAATGATGGATGATTTCATCATCACTTCCATGGTTTGGTTTATTAGAAAGGGTTATTTGCACAAAAACAGGGATTTGGCCCAACTATACAATAGACACCCCCACTTCATAAATAAGCAACAACTCACGGTCAGCAAGAGTGAGGGCTTCTGCAACTAAGACAGGTAAAGGTGATCCGTAACTCTCCAATTTATTTGATGAACTATCTTCTGCGAGGAATGACGACTGTAAAAAGGACCTCCGAGTTGCAGGGCTCCTATGCAAAATACAAGACCATAATTTTTGTCTATTTTTAAATATTGTCTATCCTAGTGAAATTTTAATAACTTAATTCATGAAAATATTGTAACAATTTTAATTTATTAGTCAGTCAGTTATGGGTACTCATTACTACAATATTTTTTTTTCCAGTTATACCATATGCTTTATAATCATTTGGGGATTACTTGGTAACTGACGTTACAATTCATCCTTTAATTATAGTCACTTTATATTAAAAACATGAAAAATCTACAGGGAATTATTTTTTATTGCTACATTGTAGTACTATGGGAATAAAATATAGGAATTAAAAATGTTATATATACATATATATATATATATATATATATATATATATATACATATATATATATATATATATATATATATATACATATCATGTAAATCATCACCACCGACACACTATTCACAGTACCGGCAACTACACATCTAATAGTATAATACGCTCTCCTCCATTAGATTGTATATCTTCTAATGTTGTATATTTCATTCATTGTGATAAATGTAATAATGGCAATTATGTAGGCGAAACAGGATGCTCCATTTATATTAAGGCTTAACACTCATACACAGGGTGTAAACAAATATATAGCTATGCTAATAATATATTAATCTATTAAACATCCCAGCCCATGACATGAGGAGATTTTTTTTTTATGGAAACAAATTGTAAAATATACTGTATATTTCCTTGGTCTAACATAGGCCTAAGCCTGCCTTGTACAAACAACTCAGGCCGACCAGATCTAGCCTAGACCTAGGCCTAGCCTAGGTACTCGCCCCCTGCCTAGGCCCTACTGTAAACAAGGCCTCCTGTCCCTGCCTGGCTAGGCGGCCAAACAGTAAACCTACCGTGTACTGACGTTCGGTGAGGGAAGAAATGATCTTCTGCTGCTCGTATTGAAAATCCCCATACTTCTACGACCGGTCGATCTACTTGATCTTGCAGAACCAAATGATGAGTACCGATGGTATGAAGATCCCTTTACATTCTTTGGCGTGGACATTTTGAAAAGGAAAAACCCAAAGGAAGCCTTGCAAGCCTAGGCCCAGCTACCTATTTACCTTGGCTATACACACCAACTTTACACACACACACGCTCGCGCGCACACTTTTCCAAAAAACGAATATAGCGCCCACTAGAGGGTTACTCTCTGAAAAAAAAGAAAAAAAAAAGAAGTCTTTGTACAGGTCTGGTCAGGGACCGGGGTTTTGATTGGTCTTTTGCAGCTTTTGGTCTATAATTAGAATCCACCAGTGGAGGATCCACTTCTGAGTTGAAATTACTGACGTTTATGAACTATCATCAGTTCATATTATATGTCACCGTTTCAACAATTGAGAATTTTTTTTAATTATGAACCGTATTGAAAACGGAATGTTTCACCTAACCTAAATTTAGTTTGTTTAACTTTAAAAGATATTAAAATATAGGCCTATGTTATTAATATTATTTATACTTTTGAATGGTAATTATGTGTATTATGTTTATATCTTTCTGGTTTGAATGAAAAAAAAACCAAAAAAAACAAAAAAAAAAACCCTTGGCTTATGTTCGGCCATTTCAAGCTTCTTACAGGCCGATGATAGGATTATGCATAGGACTTGATATACATCAGCAGTTGTCATAACAAAAGAGTTACCTTCATGGTTACAGCATGCATGCAAAGATCGTACGCGGCGGATACCCTACACGGCGCTGTTTAATACACGATCTTTTGTTACTTTTTTCGCCAGTGACTTCACGGTAAATTGTATATAATGGCATATAACTTCATTAAAAAAATTGCAAAAAAAATGATTTTAATGTTGATTCTATTATTAATGTCATATCGAAAATCCCCTCTAAGAAAAAAAAATCATTTGGTAGTTCCCTTACATCCTGACCACTCTTCATCAAAGAATTACCGTACTCTCTTCGTGATTCGTCTGTGATTTACAACATGGCAACTGCATAACAAACTTAATAGGCCTGATAGATTGATTAGAGGCCGCACTAAACAACAGCAATACACCACTAATGGTAATTTGGAATATCTTTCCTTTAGAAAAGATTAGACAGCCATAGAATCATTTTCCACATTGATTTGTTTCTCTGTTTTCACTTTTTCGATGTGTAAAAATTATGGTATATAATGATCCTGACGTTAATACTTTGCATCTACAGAATGAGCAAGTTAATTTTAAATTGATACTTTCTTCTTCGATTTTTCAGTGGGACTTACAATTTTAATGATTTTGGCATCGTGCTGTGACTATAGTAATTATTATATTAGTCACATTAAATTTCGAAAAACTGCAAAATTGTTGATAAAGAGCTCATTTCAAAACTGTACTTTCGAAAGAATACTTCATTCACTCAGTTGGTGGAATAATATTTATGATTATTAAAATGAAAAATAATTATATGATATCACCAATTACGTGTATATCCAACAACTACAATCTGTTGCAATCGCATCGTCTTTGAATATTTTCCTGTCGTCATATTCAGACTTTTTTGAAAATGAAATATTATCCCAATTCTGTACATCCCTCCTCAGAAATGAAATTGTCCATAGAAAATTACTAGCGAGACGCGTACGACGATTGACGAAGCAAAAACGAGACAGACGAACAGATTCATAACAAGGAAGTAAAAGTGTAGAGTTTCTGTAGAGAATAAAGAAAAGAAATTATTGAAAATGGGGTCTAACGCTTCGACACTTCTGCAGGATGAAGAGATTCGAGATATTGAATTAGAAACAGGCTGTAAGTAGTAATAACTTTTATATTGTAAAGTATAACGGTACTGTCTTTCTGTAGGCTTAGGCCTAGCCAGGGCACTATTTTGAGTTTGTGAGTGCTAAACACGCCCTTATAGTGGCCAATAGACTACATATTGGGGAACTCGTACCGAAGGTACAACTTCAAAAAATGTATGCTTGTGGCGATACCTTATTTTATGACATAAAATGTTTGTTTTCTAATAACATCACTCACTATCTGCTTTTAATAGAGAGCCTAGTATTTTACAATTTTAATGTTTTTCTAATTTAAATTTTAAAGTTGTGGATTATGCTTGTTAAATGTACAGCTGAGTAATACAGTTATTTACCAGGGTCTCATCCTATTCTTAAGTGAGTTTGTTCTTTCCTTCTCAGTGATAATTATTGATTAGTGAACTTATCAATAAAGGATATATAAAATTATGAAAATAAAAGTTGATGTTACTTCTTTGGAAATTGGAACACTGTGTGTGATGCATCGAAACCTGTAATAAGACGGTAGTGAGATAGCTCATACTTCCTCAATTGAATTGTTATCAATGCTTCAATTGTTAGCTACAGGAAGTGGAACTCTCCGCAACAGTAAGCTACAGAGAACATTTGACGTTGTCATACCTGGACTATAAATCAATGACTAAGAAAAATATAATCCTCCAGGCCAGATAGCAAACACCCCTAACTCGCATCTTTTTAATTTGCCACCAGTGCTATTGTATTGCGCGTGAAGTGATTGAATCTGGCTTGTTTAAAATACAGTTAGAAATTATAAAAACTTCCTTCCTTTTTAAAGGAACCTAAAAAAACTGTATGTATTGGGCCCAAAGGAGAAATTTATAATTACCCTCTATTTCCAAAATTCCTATTTTCCTGCAGCAGTGGCACCAGAAATTTACCGACAAGGGGTCTGACATATCCAACGGGGGTTCGAGCCAAGGTGCCGATGAGGCCTCGGTCGACAGCCTAGAATAAAAACTCCCTTTTAGGTTTCACTGGGAGAGTTTTTATGGCTTAGTATGATGCTCCAGTGATTGGACGTTATTTAGATAGGCAAATTAATATTTTTTTATATTTTTGATCCGATGACCTAGTCGTGCGTCGTACGACAGGGGGTCCAGGCCTGTCCTACGGAGCGGGAAATTGCCCCTCCTCCTGCTGGCACCACCAATAGCATATTAATAATCTGTTTAAATTTCATTTCTTACCTATGGGCAGTGTGTTCTCATGTACCTATACTGTTTTCTTTTGCTAGCCCACCTTTTTATTTTTTACTAAAGTAGTGATTCACAAATGCCCCCTAACAGTAGCATGTTTTTAGACCTTTGTTTAATTTAATATAAGCCATGGACTCTAATTTAAATGTATTTCTAGATCTTATGACATGTGGTTATACTGGAACAATGAGTCACTAGAATTTAAGATAGAATATAATAATAATGAAAACAATAATGATATTAATATTGACAATAACTAACAGAATTAGGAACATCATTCCTATTAATATATATTAATCGCTCTAATATAAATTTAGCTTTTTTAATCAAGATCTTGCACTTGGTTTTTTTTCTTATTTGTTAGGCTATCATTTATGACCTTTGTATGCTTCACATTTGCATTCTGGTTTTTTTGCCATTTCGGTTATTGGCATTATTGTAATTACTGTTTTGGGTATTGCCGTTTCAAATTATTGCCATTATGGTTATTGCTTTTGGGGTTTATTGCTAACTACCTGTGTTCTAACTTGAAAGTCTGATGCCATTAGCCTGTAGGCCTAACCATGTGATAATACAATAGGTAATACATAATTTATCACATTTAATGTTATTTTCTTTGTTATAGTTTCTCACAAACAGATATTGAGGCTTTACAGTAGGTTCACGAGTTTAGACAAAGATGGAAGTGGAAGGCTTGGGTGTGTATTTTCTTTTGTTTCCTTTTATTTATTTCATATATTTATTTTTTTAGGCAATAATAAAAGAACAAGCATAACTAATTATTTAAAATACTATCAATTAAACAAAAGTGGAGGATTACATAAAAAAGTGAATTATATTCTATGAAAAGATTAAGTATTATTATAGTTATCATTCCTGATGATGACATAATTAATGTCGAAATATTGATTCCCAACACGATGGCGTGTATTTCAATACTTGGAGTATGTATTATACTTTCTTATAGTTACATATGTTATTGGACAATGTAAATATTTTTACTGTTCTGGGTTTCAATTGAAAGGTTCATAATTGAATTTTCATATTTTAGTAATAAGCTCAACACATCTATCTGCTATAATGATAGTAGTTTATTCGGAAACTGCACTGTTGAAACAGTGGCACACTTTACATGATAAAAGATTCGTCCAAAAGTAGATGTAATAAATGGCAAATAAAACTACAAACAGAATACAGTAAAGAAAACAATGTCTTAAAAACAAGTTGAATAAACATCACTCAAGCAATTGACAAGGCCATCTCCATCCAACACCCTCCCTCATCAAAGTATTATTAGGAAATGATGGCCATGTCAATCTCCTGAGTGACATTTAATCCATTAAAAATAAATATATATAATACAAAATCAACATAACTCAAACTAAAAATTTTAAATGTAGTAAATCACAAAGGAAAATGAATTAAACTGGAACACAAATAAATTACAATTTAAAAACAACTAAGATGTTGAGAACACTGAACATCCATGTTTGTTGGTTTACTTTCTATTCCAACGTGGGAGTGTGAAGGCCTGTCCAGACTTTCAGATTTTATTTCACAAAAAACTGTTGTATGCCCGTATAAAGTCATGATGTGCCTATATATGGTCATGATGTGCCTATATATGGTCATGATGTAATGATGTCATTGTGATATTTAGACATCATGACCATATATAGGCACATCATGACCATATATAGGCACATCATGACCATATAGGCACATCATGACCATATATAGGAACATCATGACCATATATAGGCACATCATGACCATATATAGGCACATCATGAACATATATAGGAACATTATGACCATATATAGGCACATCATGACCATATATAGGCACATCATGACCATATATAGGCACATCATGACCATATATAGGCACATCATGACTATATATAGGCACATCATGACCATATATAGGCACTTTCAAAATTCATGTCTGGACAGGGTTTAGAAGAATAATATTACTGAGTTTTTTTGTTTTGTTTTTGGGGTTTTTTAAAATTTTAATTTATTTATTCCTTTCAACAGCAAGGAATCACCACTTACAATGGTAATAAAAATATAAATCTTTCTTTTGCTTTCATTAATCATATTTGTTACTTTGTAGACGACAGGATCTCCTACGAATTCCAGAACTTGCTGTAAATCCGCTAGGGGACAGGATCATACATGCTTTCTTTTCCGACAGTAAAGATGGAAATATCAACTTCAAAAATTTTATGAAAACATTGGCAATTTTTCGACCAATCAAGAAGAGTGATAGTGAGGCTGCTGTCAACAGTGTTGAAAGTAAACTTAAATGTAAGTGCTGTCATTTTTTTTTTTTGTATCATGGTTTCTTTAAACCTGATCCACTGTCAATATCATTAATTACAAACACAATCCCATCCTGCTTTAATATGTTTCCTAGTACAGGTAGTTAATTTCTGCTTCATGAGAAATAATAATACGTATAAATCATTTTTATTATTATTAGGCCACTTATTGTTAATAGGATTATAGGTCTCACTACCATTATTAGTTATTGATATATATTCAAACCTTTCAGCCTCTTTTGTCAACTTGATTTCATTTCATTTATTTCCTCCAAAAAACATTAAAATTGACAAACACAAGATAACAAAGCAAAAAACAACATGCCATACAGGATTGCCAAAAAGTGAACTGAATCACTGTCTAGTGCCTCTCCGATGCCAATGAGAACATAAATTAAATTAGCATAAAATATTCAAGTAAAATAGGCCAATCAATAAAATTTAAATTTAAATATATATATATATCAGTGAAATCGGTCAAAATACAATAAAATTTGAAAAAGAATTGCAGCAAAAAACAAAATAGAGAACTTGGTTGTCCACTCTGCCCCGAAGTTGAATTTTAACTTTAAATTCTATGTCTGTTAGGTCAGCTTTGTTAGCTTAGCCTTTTTCCCCCTTAGGTTTATTCAAATAAAATACATGAGCTTGGTGGGCTCCTATTGTATTTACAAGCTCCCTGGAGTTTCTTGGAGGTACATTTCATAATTTTAAATATCACTTGCATTTATTTTAAAATTCATATTTTTTATTATTATCTAATCCTTGCATTTCTTATTTGTTTATATGGAATTTATTGATGATGATTAATAGAATTTGATTGATTAATTGTTTTCAATCTCCTCCGTTAACCAAGACTTTTCGGACCAAAAAAATAATTCATTTTATTTGCATACAGTACAATAATTAAAATGTTCCAAACATATATGAACAGTTTATAACTGGCCAAAATGTATGTTCAATGTATTAACATTATGGTGCTTCTTCACCGTCGTTTGTCAGAATTCCACTAGCACCTTCACAC